AAAGAAAAAATATTATTCTTAGGAACTATTGCAAAAGATTTCTGTTCTCAAAATATTAAATTAAAAAGGTAAAGAGCTCAGTATTCAAATTTCCGTATTACTAGTTTTTAAGTTTTCAGAGGAAGCTGGTCAGCTTAATTATATGTATGCATATTCCATTATAATGCATATTATAATATTATATATATTTATATACAGTATTCTGAACATTATTTGTAAATGAAATAATGCTTCCTGAAGCACATTTTTAATTCTTTTTTTTTTTTCCTTTTCTTCATATATACAACTAAATTTGAATGTGTTTTGCTATTCCCTCAAAAATTAATATTTTTCTGAGTTAAATTTTCGTATGAATTAAAAAAAATGGCATTTAAATTTTTTCACAGTTGTTTTTCTTATTACATTTGAAATTATTCATACAACATAAGAAACATACAATTTAAGTTCAGTAAGAAACATACAATTAAGTTCATCATCGTTGATGTATAATGTGTAATATTAAGCAAATAATTTTCACGCAATCATCAGTCGCAATCCTAAAATTCACTATCAACGTTTATTAAAAATCACTATTAGATTTTTTTTATTTGATTTTTAAATCAGATATAAAAAAAATCATTTCTTCTTCATCGACCTACTGTTCGTAATTTCGTGAAACTTTTTAACACAATTATAAGTCGTCATCCTAAATATTCATATCGACGTTTATCAAATATTAAATAACAAGTTACAAAACACAATCCGTCTGCCACCTACATGAAAGATTACTTTTATTGCGAGCTGTATTTCATTGCGTATGAGTGAGATAATTTTAGATATTCTGCGCAAAAACGAATATGTTGGGAAAATATTCAAGTCTTAGTTTCATTTCGCCCACTCATTGTTCTCATTTGTAACTTTTGTTTGAACGGTTTAACTAAACAGGACTCAGCATATAATTTTAAATTAAAAATTAGTTCAGTTAATTTATAAATAAATAAGTTGTAAAACCCGGCTTTGCTTGCATAAATAAGGCACGTTAATGATTTAGTTATTTGAATGCAATTCACGAAAAAAAGTATTACTATTCCATAATCATTTATTGAGTACAAAACGATATCGTACTACAGATATCACCTTTTTTTAGTCAGTCAAAATTAACAAGTAAAGTAAGTAACAGTAACAAGGAAGTTCTACAACTTCATTTTTGCCAATCCCGGTGACTTTTCATTATTAGATTTATCGAAACACGTTTTGGAAGAGCAATCGTCTTTAAAAATACGCGTGGTTACGCATATAGCTTTCAAGAGTAATCATAATTTTCTACAATCATAATCGTAATTCCCAGAAATCGTCTATTTGCAAGTGTCTTATAACAATACCTCTGTATTAACCCTTCATCTATTTTAATCATATCTATTTTAAATGAATGATTGTTTTTCAAATATTTTCTATAGATGGGATTTGTTTTAATTAGGAGAAATCAGATGTGTGCTGGGTAAGAGTTATTTCCTTGGGATGCGTTTTTTCTTTCTCCTATAAACAGAAAATATTTTCCTTAAACTCTACTATCAAGAGTGAATTAATATCGAGGAGCAACTTTGATTTGCTTACCTCTAACTTTACTAATATTAAATTTGTAAACAAATAAATTCACTTGCTTTTTTAAAGATTTTTAATTTAATTTATTAATTTACATAAATTTGTTTTAATAAATCTTTTAGTCTTATTATAACTCATAATATACTCATTTAAAAATACCATATGCAAAGTATATTCGGTTGGAATCAAAATATCCAGGTATCAATGTGATCACATTATACAGTAAGCACAGATAATACCAGAAATTTAACTCCAAATAATTTGCATATTGTTGAAATATTCGCTCATCTTTTACATGGATTGTAAAAAAAATGGGATCCACTTATTTTAATTAAAGAAAGCCTGTCTTGGAAATACCACTCCAAATAAATAATTCTCGCTAAAGTAAATAATTAAACTGAATTTCATTGAAAACGATTTATGTCCATGTTTTACAAAAATGTTGATTGGATCGCTATTTGTAGTATTTTGAGGATTACTTAGTTTTGGCAAATATGTAACACAGAAATCGGTTCTCCCCGAGAGTTATTACGCATGAAAGATAGACCGTGCTATGAAAAAACAGTTCCCGCCTGTGTGCAAGTTCCTTTCTTTCTTCTTAAAACCAGCTTTCATGGATATAGACTAGGGATTTCCAACTTACATGAGGCCGGGGGCCGCAATTAAAAGCGCCAGTCAAATGGCGGGCCGCAACTTAATCAAAATTTTTTATAGGTCTCTTTTATGCTGGAAGGAGCATTAAATATTACTGTCAGATTTTTATCAAGTTGTACAAAACAAACGTATTGAATTAAAAATTAAAATTAGAAGTAGATTTTTAAGCAACATGCACGATTATTTTTGTATTTGAATAAATATTTTCTTGGATGCAAAACCAGAGGAATACATTTTTTTGCTCCGTTGGCATGTTAAATTTCACAGAAACGAAGAAATTAGAGTTTTTTTTTAACGAAAGAAAAGTATTTTAAATCCATACAGATTTTTTTACGAAAATTGTTCGCAAAAAATGATAGTTAATAGTTAATATGTTTCAGTTAGCGGGCCACAAAGAAAAAGGCTTCGAGGGCCGCCAGTTGGTAACCACTGATATAAACCGTTCTTCTACCTCTTTTTAAATTTCTTTTTAATATTGAAAGTTAATAAAATAAATCATTTTATTTTCGAAATATATTATTATTATAATTTCTTCAGTAAATTAAGACACAATAAGAGTTAATAAATGAGAAGTAATTTTTCGTTAATAATCTTTAATAATAACCTTATACCTCGTATCATATGACAAATCACATTGGAAACAGTTTTATCTCTTTCAAGTCTTTTTTTTTTTTTTTTTTTAAACATTTACGAACATTTAATCTCTCTCTTATATTTTTTATTTATTCTTTTTTTTTTCTTACCTTTTATATCAAGTAATGCGCGAGCTTATAAATGAAAATCTTTATGTTTATTAAATCTTGAAAGAGTTTTATTTTTCTACAATAATGAATAAATAATTATTATTTAATAAAAAAAAAACTTTAAAACTTGTAATAATTTTCGAATAAATAGCAATCTCGAAAGAAAGAAAAACTTCCGTTAAGTTTATAAATCAAAATCATCAAATACTATAACCAAATATAATCAAAATCCTATCAATACTTTAAATTGTAGTTATATACAGCAGATATTAGATCAATCAACATGATTTTTTTTAACTACAAGTTTATCGATTAATAATTCTCGATCACATCGTATATTTTTTTCATTTATTATTATTTTTATTATTATTATCTAGTTCTATCGAGTTTTGTGCTCATTTTTCTAACATTAGTAATTTCATTGGTTTTGAGCAGCAAATCAAAACATGAGAAAAAAGGAAAGCAAAAAAAAGTTACGAAAGTTAGTTAACATCAAATTGCTGGCAAATACTGCTTTGTTACATGGTAGAAATTCTGCGCTCCAGAATATTTTGTTTACATATTATGCTCTTTGATACTTTATTCAAGTGAAATTAGCTACAGCGATATTCTTTATGGATGAGATTCGATTGCAGTAACAACAATTTATCACCGCGAAATTTCGTTCGTGATGTTTTGCCTGTTTAAAATTACATCCTGAATTAAAACTCAAACCAAGATACTCTGCTTTATTTCCTTATTTCTATTCTTTCTTTTTGTTTTTCTAACTATGGAATTTTCACTTTAAAAAATTCGTTTTCACTATAACAGAATTTTGAACTTTGTAAAAAATAAAAAAGCGCAAATTTTGCAACTAACGTGTTGCTTTCATTATAATAAATTCGAATAATATTCGTCGATCTATTTGCAGATTATCTGCCGAATTCGCGTATTCCTTGGCCATCTAGCCGTACAATTTCGGAGATGATCTGAAATTAGTATTTATTACTATTGTGTTTTTTTTCTCTCTCTTTCTTGTGCATGTACGTGCTTGTTGTAAATTTAACTTAGTAAGCTTCAAAATTTTAAAAAAAAATTGACATTTGTATTCCCTTATTGTGCTTTAGTTATCCTAGTTTTGATTAAAATTTTATGAATTTCTGAAAACATAAATAAATAATTGTTTTAATATGTTTTTGCTTCCTAAATGGGCTTCTATTTTGTTTTAATGAAGTGGAAAAAATAATTTTAGCCTAATGATACAGCAGAGAAAAAGTTAAAAGATCGTCTTAAGCAGTTAAAAAGTTGAGAATTATGGAGAGAAAAAAAAATAAGTGACGAAAAGAACTTTTAAAAAAAATTCATGCTGTACCAAAAAAAAAAAAAATTCATTGATGTCAGCATTAAAAAAAGCAATAGAATACTTTACATAATCCACTGATCAATCAGTTAATTGAATCTAATTTTTTTTACTCAAAAATAAATAAATATAAAAGCTGAAAAATATAAAAAACATTAATGTGAAACTCACTGTCAAAAAGTATACTGCATTTTTATATCTGTGTGCCAAATTATTTTAAGAAAAAAGGGCCATTTTTTAAAGGGGGTCTATTTTCTAATCATGCATTCCAAATCCTAATATTGTATCCTAAAATAGAATAATTTCTTCAAAACATAGTTATAGAATAAAAATAAAACTTTAAAATAAAAAACCTAGTTTCCATGATGCAAAATTCACTATTCTTCTCAAATTAATATAGGTATTTATCCTGATAACAAAAAACTGAAGATATCTCTACAGATGATACGGCGGAGAAATTCTAACATCGGGATGCCTTACGAAAGTGAGGAGGAAACCGATGCCGAGAAACTCTATCCCGATTGGAGGACTATCATACACCCCACCTCATCAGGAGACACTGATTGGTGGAAGACATCCTTATGTAGTCAGGAAGAGGAGTAGACGTTTCTTCCAGTGTGTCACATCACTGGAAAGATAACTGAGGTATAGAAATTATCTTTTCAAGACTGTGGATTCAAGTAGAAAAAATTAAATGTTGATGGGAGATGGTTCCTACCTATGACATGTATTCCCCTACAGCTAGACACCAAAGTTCAACTTATGCATTAACCCAAAACTATGGACATCATCAAACTTACTCTCAATATACGGACAATATCAATTTCAATCCATGCGGAGTTATGGACAATGGCATGAACAATAACTACCAACAAAATCTGCCGAGTTCTTGGCCTATATACACGGTGTCGCCTTCCAATAACCCATCGCGCCAGCATGTCCTTTTAGAGGACTGGATGCCCCTAACAACCAGTCCAAATAATTACCAAACACAAAATGTGATGCATTTTTCAACTGATAATACACAAACTTTTCATCTTCAGAGGAATATCGGCGATGTCGGACCAGCTGATTATTCCCTAACCAGCTCTGAACACATGAGAATCCAGGAAAAATTGGAACCTAGTTCAGAAACCCACGAACATCCAAGTTCTGATTCTATTGTTGCAGTTTCCAGCGATGGTATGAGTGGTACTGAATCACCTATTTTGCCAATCCATATGAATCATTCTACGGGTAATGTTCTTTGTCGACCTCAACCGGCCCGCAGTCCATATGAATGGATAAAAAGGACGTCTTATCAGAGTCAACCTAATCCAGGTAAGATTTATAAAAATTTATTGCTCTCATCAAAGATTGTTTTTACTAGTTTTTATTATTAATATTTCAAACGTTATGAGTATCCGTCTGAACTTACTATTCATTCATGTGTGAGAATACTCTGGAAAAAATTTCAGAATTTAGGTATTTTATGAACTTTCAATTGTTTAACTTTGATTTACGAAACTTTATTGCGCTCATTAAAGATATTTTTTACTATATTTTGTTATTAATATTTCAAATCTTAAAGGAAACCATCAAAACATTATATTCATTCATAGGTGGGAAAACTTTTGAAAGTATGCAATAACTGGTATTGTTTAATTTTGATTCATAAATATTTATTGTTTTCATTTAAGGGATTTTTTACTATATTTGATTGCTATTGTTTCAAACGTTAAAAGATATCTTCGAAATTTTGCATTTATTCACATATGACAATACTTTTGAAAAAATTACAGAAGTCGGTATTTTACGAACTTTCAATGATTTAATTTTTATTTACAAAAATGTATTCCTCTCGTTAAAGATATTTTTTACTATACTTTATTATTAATACCTATTTCAAACATTTAGAGAAACCATGAAAACTTTGTATTCATTCATATAAAAGAATACTATCGAAAAATTTACAGGAATCGGTATTGTTTAATTTTGATTTATAAACAATTATTGCTTTCATTAATGACATTTACTATGTTTCATTATTAATATTTTACACGTAATTTTGAACCACCAAAATTTGTGTTCCTGAACTTCCTAATAGTTCTAAACTTCCTAATATTCCTAGACTTTGTCGAGAATTTGGAAAAATTAGCAGGAATTGACAATTTTATAAACTCTCAAATGTTTACATTTGATTAATAAAATATACTATATTTTTTATTGTTAAAATTAATGAAACTGTCAAAACTTCGTATTCATTAACTTGTGAGAATATTTTTGAAAAATTTATAGGAAAGTATTTTATGAATTTTCAGTTGCTTACTTTCCAAAATATGAATTTTTGAATCTAATTTTATTTTTTTCCATTGTTTCTTTATTTATTTTTGGATTAAGAGAACAACTAGAAACGTAGTGAAAAAAATTAAAATATGCTGGAAAATTAATTAAATGTAGGGTAAATAAAATTGATATCTAAAGATTGCATATAGCATCTTCTTGAATTAGATTACGCACATAAGATGGTGAACAGATTATTTTTGTGCTCATTTATACAAATCAAATCTAAAATATTCTATTGCAAATATAATTTTGTTCCTTTTCCTTTATTCATTTTGAATATTATGTTCTGCTTAAAATTTTCTGTTACAACAATCAACAATCACGCACAATTTTTTTTATATCTAGACATGCGTATTTCAATTTGTAAAATCAATGAAAAGTTAGATTAATTTAACTCCAACCATACTCGATTCAAATATTACTGTATATATATGTAAAAAAAAGGATTTGATAAAATATAATTTTTATTAAAAGAAATTTTGGTGTAAACCATTATATGGCGTCATAATGATGGTGTAATTAAGGGAGTAATTTTTTTTAATAATTATTATGAATCTACTACCAGTACTGCAATAATAATATTTTGTCCAAATATTGGCTAACCGAGCTCATCGTCTTATGTTCAGAATCTTAGACATTAACAACCCCTCCCGAAAAATTTAAAATGTTCAGATTACACTGTCGTAAATTCTGGGGCATGTTGATGAACCATAATGTCGTTCAAATGAACTGCAACCTTAATATAAATGATAAGTTGAACCATATTATCGTAATTCCTGAACTTGATTAACCAATACTATGTGGTTTACCTTGGACAAAATTTACCACCTTGTTGGTGTTGCAGCAAATTCGTTCTCTTACATGGATCAAAGTATATAATGGGGTGGATAAAATGGGATTGTATCAAAAGCAAGAAAAAATGGTAAGAGCAAACAAAGAATTTTTATCTTTTAAGTATCAGAAGATTTTGATAATGGTACTTTTTGCATCGAGTTGATATTGGTACTTTTTGCATCGAGTCATGAACATAGCTTTTTGAGAAACTTATTGTGAAATACATCAGAATTTCAATTATCTCTTTAAAAGCCTAACAAAAATTTAAGACGTGCATTTAAACAAATTTTTTAGTTGAACATTAAGAGTTAGTGTTTTTTTTTTTTTTAATTAAAGACGATGAATTATATTCGAATATATAATTTCAAAACTTTTGAGCTGTAAATTTAATATTAAATTTTAAAAGTAAAGTTTAAAAGTGAAAGTAAATTTAATATAAAATTTCAAAAGTAAAACTTAAAAGTGAAAGTAAATTTAATATTAAATTTCAAAACTAAAGCTTCTTATTTGAATTTTTGAGTATAGAAATAAGGTCGCTTTTTAGTACCAACATCTTTAAAAATTGCAAAATAGGCTATATTATGTAGAATGTTAAACTTCAAATACCTCAAGATAACAGATCGTAATTTAAATATTTTTTAACAAGTTACATATATAACTTCTAAAGTAAATTTACCCGCCATATGAACATTGAACAATTAGACTATAAGAAAAGTAATGAGAGTATTAAGAGCCAACATCTCTTCTATAATTATTTTAAAGCGATCGTATTAATTTTAACAGCTTTTTAAGTCGAAAACAAGTGAATTATTTATTTAGTTTTTTTAAATTAAAACAAGTTGTATTTTTCACTATGATTTTCTTAAAACTAAATTAAAAATTATTTTACTCCGTTACATAAATACATTCAGTGGTAACTCTTCTGTAAGATTTCTATTAAATGAAAAATCCGTATCAGTTATCTTGCGTCGAAATCACCGCCAGACTTTTAAGAAAGTGTCAGATTCAACTCACAATGTGCTCAGAGGGGCAACACATTTTGGTAATTGACAATTTCCTTTAATATGGATTCTGATTAAGGAACTACATATTTGTAATCTTGTTATAAACTATAAATGTGTAAAGATGTATTGTTTACTTACTAGCTTACTACACATTTGGTAATCAGGAACGGTTGTGTTGTGCACAACCGTTCCAACGGCTAAAAAGCGAAATTACCAAACTGCTAAAACATTCAGGTTATCAGTTTAATTAGCAAAAGAAGAACAAAAAGAAGAAGAAAAAATTCATTAAATACATGAATTCGTATTTTTATGCTTTATTCTATTAGTGGGTTACTATTTATCTAAAACAAATAGTGTTGTAATACAATCGTAAATTTAAAACATCGTCCTGAATGGTCTAATTTTTAACATTATTTATGATTAATTATTTTCTACGTGACGTGATTATAAATTTTTGATTTCAATTTTATGAATTATACTCTGCGTACTTCAGTGAGTTTTTTTTGAAGCCTGATTAATTTCAGGCAGACATTTTGACAGTCTTTTTGGCAGATGTTTTCGTGGTGTTTTTCTTAGCTGATGTTTTCTTAGATTTCTTTTTACTTGACGTCTTCTTACCACCTTTCTTCTTGGGATTCAAATAATAATTCCTGTTAACTTTCTTGATCAATCCAGTATCAATCAGTTTCTTTAAAATCTCTTTTGCCTCTGGTTTTTCAGCGAGTCCAGCTTGCTTTGAATCCACAAATTTTTTAATCCGCACCCATGAAATTCCTGATTTGCTGCTTTCTGTCGATGCTGCTTTGAGGATCCATCGTCTTAACTTCTTTTTGTCTCCTTTAACATCATTTTTCATCTCTTCTTCAACATAATTCTTCATGTCTTCTTCTTTAACATCCATGATTGACAACTATTTCTGAAGACTGCAGAGTATTTTTACTTATTTTTTAAAATTTAGATGAAATGTTAGAAATAGTAGCTAAAAAGGAAGACAAATTCTGTAGAATGATTTAAATTAATAAAATATACCTCGTTCCACGATTTACGAAACCAAGTCTGAACTAGATCAGGGAACTGATTACAATAAAATCCAGCTTTTACAAAACGTGCAATGAACATGAAATTCAGCTTCTTTAACAATATAGTCTGTCGCGTTCAATTTGCACTAAACACGCACAATTTAAGTACAAATATTTATACTTTTTTAAGAACTTTTTTATTGCAAACTGGAAAAGAAGGTAAACACAGTCATGATTATAAAAAAAAAATTTTATCGCAGTGAATTGCACTTTCTCATTGCTAAAAACAAATACGAGTAGTTCGTTAATTCTTCAAACTACTATATATACTTACATTATAACTTTAATGAGTCACAGTTTCTTATGTTATCGGTAAAACTATCACATAATCAAATTTTTTGCTAATTATTGTATTACTCTCCTTAAAATTTACTATTTAAGATTAATTATGAAATATTTTTATAGAAATGAATTCTTCACCTAATCGAACTATCTTTACTAGATAATTAAATGCTATAAAGTAATAATTTAAATGATTTCCTGAAATTAGAAATTTCATAAAGAAATTTCATAAGAAATTTCCTGTTGCTACACATTATGCATCACAACAATCTGCGCCAAATTGCATAACATGTCCCACACGAATCTCTAAACTTCAATCGTGTATAAAAGATAATCAATATTTTTCAATTGTGTCCCATTGATGATGCAGAAACTTCAGTGAAATGCAGAATTTTAATTTCTCTAATTTTGAATTTAAAAAGTTCTTTAACAAAAACAAAAATTTTTAATTCCTTGTAGAGAAAAAATAATAGAACCTTTTAAAAAAAGAAACATTAAAAAAACTCATGTGCTACTTTATCAAAAATAATATCATGAATGAACTCTTATTCGCAAGCACTGATTTACAAACAAAATAAACAAATATTTTTTTAAAAAAAGTTTAAGAATTTTCTTTTTAAACCCGTTACAAGGTCTGTTACCAGAATTTTGAATAAATTTAGTTAATAGTTGGAGAGAGAGCTCTATTAAACTACTAATAGCTGTCACGAAATTCCTGCGTATTTCTGGTATATTTATCTAAGAAAGTTGTGATGCAATTTATTGTTCTTATATTGTTATTACAATCTACGCTCTT